GCGGGACGGGAGTGCTCCTGAACGTGGATCGTGTGGCAGAGCAGCTGGAGGAGATGGGTTATCAGGGGATTCAGGTTCGAGGCTTGGCAGACTCTGGCTGGTTCCTGGACAATAAACAGTACCGCAGGACCGACTGCATTGACACCATAACGTGCGCCCCGACAGAAGCCATCCGGAGAGGAATCAGGTACAGTCAGCGCTCTGGAGCGCGCTCCTCCGTGGGGTCAGGGTGTGGAGAAGGTGTCCTGCTGCCCCGTCCTCCTGCGCTCTGGCACTTTATCAGCTCCATCGGTGGGTTCCCCTTCTTTTAAGGGAAAAGGCAGTCATTTAAAATGCAGACGTGCAGGCAATGTGTGGGATTGTGGGGGCTCTGGAATGAAAATGCAGACGTGCAGGGAATGTGTGGGATTGTGGGGGCTCTGGAATGGGTTTAGGGGACACTGGAGCCGCGGAAGAGCTGTGCTGTAAGTCAGAGCTGTATCGGGAAGGGGACGAGCGGGGCTGGGGAAAGGCCATGGCCAGGAGCGCGCCATGACCTTCCTGTTCCTGCTCTGCCCAGGTACTGGAATGGCGTCGTCCCGGAACGCTGCAGGCTGCAGTTCAAAGAGGGAGAGGAGTGGAATTGCTTTTTCGGATATAAGATTTACCCCACGCTTCGATGTGAGTGTCCGAGGGGAGAGCAAATCCATCCCGAGGGTTTCCTGGGTGCCCGTGGCACGATCCCTTTTCCGTGCTTTCTGCCTTCCTAGGCCCCGTCTTCGTTGTGCAGTGGCTCTTCGACGAGGCCCAGCTCACTGTGGACAACGTCCACCTCACCGGGCAGCCTGTTCAGGAGGGGCAGTGGCTCTACATCCAGAATCTGGGCAGGGAGCTGAGGAACACCCTGAAGGATGTGACGTAAGTGTCGCTGAGGAAGACCGGGCGCGTGGAAGTCCGGGAGACGTTCTTCCCGCCATCCTGGCGGCGTTCCTCGGTCTCCGCAGAGCCGGGTGTTGGTGACGGTTGCTCTGACGCCGGGAAGCCTGCCGGCTTCGTTTCTGGGTGAGGGCAGGGTCCTTTCCAGCCCCGCAGTCTCCCGCTGCCCGTGACTGTCGGCAGAACAGGGTTTTTCTTTCCCACCTGCGAGGGCAGGTCGGGGGCTCCTCGCCGCTGCACGGCTCCTGAGCAGCCGGGGGGTTGAGAGCGGGGGGCACCGCGCCGGCCCTGCTCCCCAGAGGGGCGGGGGTTGAGGAGTCTCCCCTGCAAACGTGCGCCGTGGGGTGCGACGGAG